CCAATTGGTCCAGTGGTGAGAATCTTTGTCTTCTTGACATTGAACCTCAGTCCATACTGAACGCTGGAGTCCTTGACCCTCTGCAGCAAGTGCATGAGGTCCTCCTCCATTTCAGGAAACAGGGCTGTGTCATCTGCATAACACAGATTGTTAAGAGATCTTCCACCAATCCTGATGCCACAAATCTCCTCATAGAGCCCAGCCTCCCGGATAATCTGCTCTGCATACAGGTTGAAAAAGTATGGAGATAGGACATATCCCTGGCGTAGGAATCAGATTGATTACATCTGCAGAAAGAAACACTGTAGAAGTTCAATATCAGCTGTGAAAACTAGGCCAGGAGCTGATTGTGGAACAGACCACCAACTACTCATATGCAAGTTCAAGCTAAAGCTGAGGAAAATTAAACCAAGTCCATGGAAACCAAAATATGACTTCAAGTCTATCCCACCTGAATTTCAGAACCATCTCAGGAACAGGTTTGAGGCCTTGAACACGAATGAGCGAAGACCAGATGAGTTGTGGGAGGATGTCAAATGTGTCATCCAGGAAGAGTACAAACGGTTATTACAAAGACAGAAAAGGAAGCGAAGACCAAAATGGATGTCAGAAGAGACTCTGAAAATTGCACTGGAGCACAGAGAAGCCAAAGCAGAGGGAAGAATTCAAGATACTAAAGAGTTGAACAGAAGATTTCAAAAGGCAGCATGAGATGACAAAGTAAAATATTACAATGAAATGAGCAAGGAATTGGAGTAAAAAAATCAAAAGGGCCGAACTCGCTCAGCATTTCTTAAGCTCAAGGAACTAAAGAAGAGATTCAAACCTTGAGTTGCTATAATCAAGGATACTTTAGGCAGAATGTTAAATGATCCAGGAAGTATTAAAAGAAGATGGAAAGAATATACTGAGTCACTGAATCTAAAAGAATTGGCAGACATAGAAGAATTTAACAAAACAACATATGAGCAAGAGCCTATGGTGATGAAGGAAGAAGTTCAAGCTGCTTTGAAGGAAATAGCAAAAAATAAGGCGCCAGGAACAGATGGTATACCAATTGACATATTTCAGCTAACAGATGTTGCCCTGGACATGCTC